TGAGAGATCAATTGAATTCGGATCTGTTCGACCCGAGAAGTGAGATGGACTCCGAATGCATGCGTGGTTCCTCAGGCTCCGGCGGTGATTTTGCTTTCGCTTTCAACGATAGTAATTTCTCCGACCGTCTTCTGAGGATCGAGATTATGGGTGGGCCTTCCGACTGCGCTCCCGATGGTGAGGGTTGCTCCAGCATCTCCGATTGGGCTCGCCACCGCAAGAGACGCCGAGAGGATATCAAGAAGGAAAATGGTTTGTTTATGTTCCCCCCTAGTTATTTCTAATTCCTATATGATTCTTGTTGCTTCTGTTTGGTTACTTAGAAAATGAAACAATTTTAAAAAGAAAAATAAATTGAAGCTTACTTTGCATCTATCCGATACTTTGTGAACCTAAGTTGAGAAATAGTAAAAATGAAAATTAGGGCTCTACTAGTTTTGGGAAATTTTGAAGTTTTGAAGGAAAATTATATCAATAAATTTATACTTGTTTGAAAATTTTGTGGCATAAGAAGGATTGTGTAGCTTTTCTTGCTGGGACTAGGATTCAAGCCAGTGGCGGATCCAAAAATATTTTTGAGGGTGGGCATGTATATATTAATAATAGAATTTTTTTGTATGGGTAGGCACAAATAAAATTTCAGGGTGAGCACTAATTGTACAATGAGCAACTAATATAAATAAATTCGGATTTCATGGTGTGCACGTGCCCTACGTCCGCCTCTGATTCAAGCCATCTTAAGTTCTTAACATATAATCTTGTTCATAATCTTGTGTTTCACTTGTTTTTATCCAGATTCAGTGTTCCATGCATATTGATGGTTAATATTTGCATCCATATACCCTTTTTATAAACTAGTCTTTATAATGTAGGCTATTGTTTAACTCTTTTTGCTTCATCTTTTTTCTTCTTTTTTGTAGCTTTGGATCTTAGTTTATGTCCCGAGGAGCAGGTTTTAAATGACAACCAACGTGATATGGATGATGCTGTTGGATGTGAAAATCAAGATGAGGAGGCAATGGTTGAAGAAACACAATCAGGTTTTGATGTTGTTCTGACAACATACTACATGGTTCATTTACTGCTTATATTAGTTTTTATGCTTAAAACTCTGGAAACTTTCACTTGAACATGCTTACCAAAGACCTTGCTAGTACTTGTGTTTTTTATTACTCAATTACAATTAAGTAAAACACAAAAATTTTAGAAACTTATGGACATGCAGAATTTATCTTACTAAAGGTGAAGTAATTTTCTCTATTTCAAAGCAATATAATGAGGATTTTGTTTGTTCTTTTTGGATTTCTAAAATAGGATATTAGCTGGTCACTTTGAATAATTACTCCTTGTACCATGGCTGCATCATCCCTGGCTCTTGTTTCTTTCAAATGTGGCATAGTCAGCATTTTGATCTTCTTGAACTTTTGTAGGCGATGAGGATGCAAATAGCAATGAATCAAGTTGGAACATGGATTGTTCTACAATTGTGACAGTTAAAACATTGCATATCAGCTCTCCCATTTTAGCTGCAAAAAGCCCATTCTTCTACAAGGTAAGATATGGAATTAATAGTTACAGATTTTTAAAAGAGAAAGTGTAACTATATATTGTGTTTCTATAATGCAATCATAGTTTATAAGAATATTTGTTACCCTTCTCTTTATAGGTAATTACTTATACGTTTACTTGTTTATTTACTAATTGTAGCTCTTCTCAAATGGGATGAGAGAATCAGAGCAACGACATGTAACCTTAAGAATTGGTGCCTCTGGTATATATACATAAACTTCATTTTAGTGATCTTGGCTATGTTAGTTATTCAAACAGGTTTGAGCTGGCAAATTTGAAATGACATTTTTACATTACTTATTTACTTGATGTACAGAGGAAGCTGCGCTCATGGAACTTTTGAATTTTATGTATAGCAACACCTTATCTGTCACCACAGCTCCTGCCTTGCTTGATGTGCTGATGGCTGCTGATAAATTTGAGGTTGCTTCTTGCATGAGATATTGCAGCCGGCTATTGCGCAATTTGACTATGACACCAGAGTCAGCTCTGCTCTATTTGGATCTTCCATCTAGTGTTTTAATGGGCGAAGCCGTCCAGCCTTTGACTGATGCTGCTAAACAGTATCTTGCTTCCCGTTACAAGGACATGACCAAGTAAGTACCCATTCATGTTTTGTATTATGTATTTTTGACATGAGTAGGTAGTTTTATTAGCCTTGCAATGGGTACATGCCTTATTCAGTTTTGATTTCTTGTAGGACAAAAAACCGATTCTCGATTAGATCCAATCTTCATCTTACACATGGTCCTAGCATTATTCTTTTCTGAGCTATTCTGATCCTTATATTTTGAAAATGATCATGTTCAACATGAACAATTAACTTTAATGCTCTTTCAAAAGAGAAAAGTACTGAAGCTTAAAGCTATACTCTTGGTAAAACTCAACCTTATAAGGTATTTTTAATGGCAACATAACAGTCTGAACAGTGAATTTACTTCCATCCCTTGTCATTGTCAAAGTGAAAATTCTTCATATTTAGAGGGCTTAAATATGCTTTTGCCGCGCTTTTTACCAGATTCCAAGAAGAGGTAATGGCTTTGCCACTAGCTGGGATTGAGGCAATATTGTCCAGTGATGATCTGCAAATTGCGTCTGAAGATGCTGTGTACGACTTTGTTTTGAAGTGGGCCAGGGTTCAGTTCCCCAAACTGGAAGAGCGAAGGGAAGTTCTTGGTTCACGCCTTGCACGCTTTATTCGCTTCCCTTATATGACCTGCAGGAAGCTTAAGAAGGTGCTAGCGTGTAATGATTTTGATCATGAATTTTCATCGAAGCTTGTGCTCGAGGCTCTCTTTTTCAAGGCTGAAGCCCCACATAGACAACGAAGCTTGGCTGCAGAGGAGTCTGCCAGCTTGAACCGTCGCTTTATCGAGCGAGCTTACAAATATCGTCCAGTTAAAGTGGTTGAATTTGAAGCTCCCCGTCAACAGTGTGTTGTATACCTGGACTTGAAGAGGGAAGAGTGTGCAAACCTATTCCCATCCGGACGGGTTTATTCTCAGGCGTTCCACCTGGGAGGACAAGGTTTCTTCCTGTCAGCGCATTGCAACATGGACCAGCAGAGCTCATTCCACTGCTTCGGGTTGTTCTTAGGAATGCAGGAAAAGGGTTCCGTTAGTTTTGGAGTAGATTACGAATTTGCAGCAAGGTCAAAGCCAACGGAGGAGTTTTTAAGCAAATACAAAGGCAACTACACATTCACCGGCGGCAAGGCAGTTGGCTATCGGAATTTATTTGCCATACCTTGGACATCGTTCATGGCGGAAGACAGTCTTTACTTCATAAATGGTGTTCTCCATCTTAGGGCTGAGTTAACCATCAGGCACTAACCATATGGAGCTTCGATCCATTTACTTTAGCTGCACTAACTCCGTTGTTTCTTTCTGTTTTTTTTTCGCTTCACTTTGACCCGACAAAATTCCATACGTACCAAGTACAAGTAGAACAATGGGTTTGATCTTTTTGGTTTTTAATCATCAAGTTGCTTGAAATTAAAATGTGATACTTCGTCTTAGACCTGTAACGCGGATCAAATTTACTAATTTTATATCTTTTACTTTACTTTTAAACAAACAATTTAATATTTTCAATATATATTTAACTTTCATATGATAATATAACACAAAATAAAAGTAGCATGTTATAAAATTGTAAAATAAGTCCACTTTAAATGGAATTTATGTTTGACATATATTTTGAACGAGTTTAATATTTTAGGTTTGATATAATATTCGAGGTAGGATTCGCTGATATAATATAACACTTTTAAAATTACTGAATGAATAATATCAACATAAAAAAATTTAAATTATTGAATGAATAAAAATGGATAGATTATACTAAGCATAGTAATTAGTAAATGATGAATTATATTTTAGAAATATATTGCTGATTTGGGCTTACTCTGCTGATAAATTTTAGTACTAATGTATCGTATTTTTGGGCCATAGAATTTTGGTAAATTTGGGTCATAGACTTAAAAACATAATTTGAACAATTTATTATTATTATTATATATGTATAGATAAATACATATTTTATGTTAGAAGGAAGAATTTAAAAAAATTAGAAGATAAAAAAATAAATCTAAGATATAAAAGAACTTAAAAGTTTTAGGAGGTTTCTCTCGGTCCATCCTAATATCATAAAAATATTAATAAAAAAATCTAAGAAATAAAAGAACTTAAAAATTTTAGGAGGTTTCTCTCGGTCCATCCTAATATGTATGGTATTTATTATATAGTATAAACAAATAAAAGCCAAGTGGAACGCCGGTGCACCGCTATAATAACGCGTTGTGAATGGCAGAAGTGGGACGACTTGTAAGACGAACAAAACATCGTTTTGAGTTTTTGTTGGCTGACCTGGGCAATGGGAGTTGCCACTTGTCACCGTTTCATTTGCAATGCTTATTCTTAATCCTTATATATTAAATTAGTTTGGTTGTGTGTTTTCGATGAATTCATGTATTAAAATTTAATTATTTATAATTTCCAAATCCTATACAAATGTACACGACACTCCTATCTTAAAACAAATTGAACTTCCAATGTCCATTTGCCTAAGAATAAACAAACCCTAAATTTGGAAGGAGGTGTGTGTAAGTAGACATTCTCGTCCCCTCTCTCTCTCTCTTATCCTACGGGTCTTGTCTTCCTTTCAATTCATTTGCCCTCCTCGTTGCCACCGCTGTCTTTATTTTCCCTTTTCATCACAATACCAATAAATAACATTACTAATTTAATGGAACCCCTTCTTTTATTGTTCTTGTTTTAATATGGATACTTTCCATTTCAATGTTTCCTACACACAAATTGCTCCTTTCGCACTCCCATTTACGCCTTCCAGTCTTTCGATAGCTTTCTTTTGATACTTTCTGTTTGCATTGTTCGAAAGCTTAAAAACCAAAGCTTGATGGGGTAATCTTGATGGGGTCTGATACAATTCGGTTCATCATCTTCATGGTTTCTTTATCGTTGTTATCGTCGATAGTCTGTGGCAGCTCGGTTAGATATGATCCGAAGGAATTGAACGCTTTGTTTCGATATTACGCGAATCGGACATTGTCGAATCATCGTCGTGCAGGTACATTAAGCCAAGTTTCACTTCCTTCTAATGTCTCTGGCATGGAGGTTTCTGTTGTTAGACTACGTAGTAGTAATTTATGGGGCAGAGGTATCGATTCTAAATATGTTAAGATCCCACCTAGTGTTAGGACATTGCCGTACGTTAAAAGATTAGCTATAGTTTATGATAACCTGGGAAATTGGTCTTCCAAATATTATCACGTACCGGGGCATTCGTTAGTCTCTCCGGTTATTGGCTTCGAGGTTTACAATTACACAGATTTAATGGTTGGAAATTCGACATTAAACGTCACCGGGGGGTCCATTTCGATTCGGTTTCCTTATTTAAAGACAAAAGAGAATAATCTGACACGACTTAAATGTGTTAGATTTCGGAATAACGGGTCGGTCGAGTTCAAAAATGTGACGGAGAGAGATGTTTGCGTGACAGAAAGTACAGGGCATTTTTGTGCCGTGATACCGTATTCATCTCCGCCTCCGCCTCTGCCTTTGTCACCATCGATGCCTGAAAAGAACATGAGCATTTGGAAATGGTGGGTGATAGAGTTTGCCCTTGGAGCCGTCGGGCTAGTGGTTTCGGTTTCGGTGGGAGTGACGGTGTTGAGATGGTGGAGAAAGAGGAAGATAAAAGATACGGAGAAGGAATCCGATTCATCAGTGGCATTGGATACGCTTTGGGTTAGGGAAGATCATAAAATGCCTTGTGCATCAATGATCAGAACACAGCCAGCACTTGAGCATGATTATGCTCCTTGACCCTCGCATTCTTTCCTGAATTCTTAATATCTTCCCATTGTTTTTTGGAATCACTTGCAATTTATTTTACTAAATCTTCCCTCATTGTATCTTTTTTCTTTCTAATTTTATTATAGGTAATTTAGGTCCCAAATGTCGTATCAATTCAATGAAATTAATTCTTAAACGGAGCACAAAAATGTTGATTATGTCTGAATTGAAAATCAATCTTAAAAAGTATCGAATTGTTTATCATTCAATTCAACACAAGCATGAGCATCCAAGGGCAGGTTTTGGTAGGACGGCCGGTGCCTCATGGCCTGTAACATTGATGTATTAAATTATTATAGTTAGTATGATGTTTATGGCTCCAACCATTAGTATTTTAGGGCAAATAACTTTTAAATATTGGATTTATTGTGCCTGCAAAGGCTGGCGGCATCTGAACAATGAATTCCGGCCATTTTTTAGTCATAAATACTTAATTCTTAATTGATATTTACAATTAAATTTAAATTAAAACTCAAAAATTATATTTTTTGTCCAAAATAAAAAGGAGATTAGAGTTTGGACTGCATTGGATTAGCCCATATTTCAAAATAATCTATATAAAATTTTAAGATGAAAAATATACTTCAAGTTAAAAGAAAAAAACAAATTGTATTGAAATTGTCTCACTATATAGTTGTTCAAAGAGACTGAAGTGAATTTTCAATAATTTTGAGTGAGTTTTATAGAAAATTAATTCAATGAGAAGAAAGATTGATAAAATGTAAATATTTTAATATCAATCTTGTCGTGAATGACTATCGGTGATGAACGATGATTGTCAGTTAGTGGCGATCGAAGAAATCCAGTGCCTAAAATTAAACTTTTTTAAAATTTAGTAATGAAATTGATACACCTTTAAAGTTTAGTGCCTAAAACGATATCATTATTAACATCAATAATCATGTCAAAATAACGTCGTTTTATCCACATCATCACAACGATAGAAAGATTTATTCACGTTATTTTTTTACTAATCTATTCACGTTATCTAACCATTATAATTAAAGTCAAAACAAAAATTTTATATCATAATTAAAAAATTTAAAATTTTAATAATACAAATAATACATCACCTAACATTTAGCTATATAAACATTATTACATCTGAAATTTAAAATTATATAATATATTTCACCTAATTTTAATCTATCTTGTTGGGTATTTATACTAACCATCATCTCTAGATATTGAACCTTTAACATGATTAAAATTCTACTAAGAGTTAAAATTTACATTATTCCTCCTTATCGAAATATTTTGTAAATAAGATGGGAAGTCAACAATTTCCTTGTGGTCTACGTCCCACCCAAGGGTTGCTTAGTAAACCAACTTGTTGGACGACGCATCACCTTGTCGTCTGAAATTTTCAATACTCCCCCAAGGACCAAATATTTTGTGCTTTGTTATAATTACTTTTGACAAGCAGGAGTCGTTGTCGTTGGCAGAGTTGCTCTGCCCATTTCCAGGCGGTCTGGTTCATTATTCTTGAAATCCAGGGATCCCATGGTCATGGTATTCCATCATCACCTGAAGTAAGGACCAAAGAGGCTTTCGTTGTTGAATTAATCTTTTTAAACTGTTGTCGTTTTTATCCTTAATTATTGTTGATAAGCATGCATATATACTGTTACCGTGGGTTAGCTTGCAAGTTATCAGTCTTTGCTTTAAGTTATAATCAGAGCATTGTAATGCATGTCCCTGTGGAAACACTTACAAAGTCCTTAAGAAATACTTTAATGAAGGAGCTGAAAGGATTTGATGACCTTACAATGTCGATAGACAACAGTTCTGATGAGAATGCTGAACCCCAACTGTCCCAGAGGTTTGTTAATCTTTTTTGGACGAACTAGTAGTATTATTTAGGAGATTATAGCTATACATTAGCAAACTATTTGTACGATACTGCATGACCAAGTGGACCTTGTCAGTTGATTCGTGGTTGCTCGACCAATTTTTATGATCAAATGGGCAGTGTGAAGACTGAAGGTTCCACTGATGATAGTGATGGGATTACAATTTACAACTGGGGAGAGATCTCATTTCTATCTGTATAACCTATTTCCAACAACTTTTTCTCTTCTTTATAAGTTATTTTAATTGAATAGTGCATTCAAAGAATTATAATTTTCTAAATGCTAAAGTTTATTTTTGTCATTGCATATCATCTGTCAGGTAGATCCAACAAGACGGAAAAGCAGGGAGGGAACACCAACCATTGGTATGATCTTATTCTTCACCATTTTTTGTTGATGTCTAATGGATTTTACCTAAAGCACAACGTTTTCACCAAATTTAGGACTTATCATTTTTACGTATCAATATAAAATCTCATTAGAGAACTGCGGCTCACTTCTCGATACGTGTTTGTGGGTATGTATACTCACAAGTAATGGTCTCGAATTACAAAAGTTTTCTGTGATTTCTTAAGGCAACTTGTGTTAGAAAAATAAAAATGAGATTTAAATCATTGAATGTTGGGACACACTAGTTCACACTTTCATTTGTGGAGGTTTAGGCATACTGATTATGGTCTTTGTCTTAGCAGGTGGCCAAGGGAATAATGAAGCAAGATCTAAACTGGTTACTACGTGGGAGGTGACTGCAACAATTTCTCCTATACAAGTTAGACCTGTACTTTCTCCTGACATGACCAAAGCTTTGGAGCTTAGGAACCCTCACACCATTGAGTGCTAAGTCCAGTCCTACGAGTGTACCTGGCATGGTATAATGCCATCTGAAGTCTAGCTGCAGGTAATTTTGCCCGAATGGACCTTCAGTATATCAGTTCTCTGTATCTTGCTTTCAGAGCTATGTTTTTTAGTTTTCTTGTAATGCTTCGATAAGGAGCTAATGCTTTTGATTACAATGATAGTAAATGCACATTTTAGTGTTCTCTTATTTTCGGTGACGGGTCTTGAGCTGTAGCTAATTTAAACGAAATTTAACAAGACAAACTGAAGTTGAAGCGGGAGAGAAGGAAACAGTCTAATAGAGAATCTGCTAGAAAATCAAGGTTGAGGAAGCTGGTATAAGAAATATATCTTCATTGAGCCTCTTTACCGTATAGGAACTATAACAATGGAACGGTCTGAAACTAATACATTGTATTCTTTTATAGGCCGAGACAGAAGAACTTACTCGTAAAGTCGAATCCTCGACTGCAGAGAATGCAACACAGAGATCCGAAATAAAGCTACTAAGCGAAAAATCCGAGAAACCAAGGTTAGAAAATGCTACATTAGAGGTATGAACGTTTACCCTTTTTATAGTTCATTTCCCTCTCAACTCCATATCTCTTGTAACGACTTTTGCAACACAGGAGGGATTGAAAGAGGAGATTATTATGAATAAGAAACAAGACAGATGGTGAAATGTACGAGAAAAAGTCGAACTCAGGCGCCAAGTTACATCAACTCTCGGGTCCAAGTCCAAGAGCCGATGCTATGGCGGCTTGATGAACAAGGAGGTAAACTAAGGGGTTGTTTGTTTACTTCAGAATGATTAAACGCTGAATGATTTAAATGCTGAATGATTCAGAGGCTCTGTATGAATTAGCTCTGAATGTGACATGTTATTTGATAATAGCTCTGAATCATTCAGAATGTACTTCTGTGCTGAATCATTCAGCATTGTTTTGTTGAATCAGTCAACACTGAATCATTCAGATGTGCAAAACAAACACGTTGAATGTTGAACGATTCAACATTCAGTGTTGAATGGTTCCATTCAGAGCCAAACAAACAACCCCTAAGTTACTTTTTTTTACATTGAATGTGAGGAAACCACATAACTTTGGCATGTAATTTATAATCCAAAACCAAAATAATTAGTAGGGACAGAGTCAGAATTCTAATTCAAGAAATACAAAGTATAACCAACAACAGAAAATAAGATGAGCAAAACCAAAATAAATAAAAAATTGAAGGTCTAAATAGACATTTATCCCTATATATATATTTTTAATAATAAAAAAATTAGGAAGGGCAGTAGCTCCCCAACACCACACATAACTCCATCCCTGATTATTTGTAAACGATAAATCAGTTTTCATATTATTTTTAAATTACAAATAAATAAATTATTTGATTGTAATAAATATATTATTTTAACGTTAAAAGCAAAACGGATGTTCATGTTATTTTATTTATCGATTATAATAATTAAACTATTCAATTTTACTTATTATACACTTAATAACAAAATGATTTGTTTGTAATTTTTTAAAATATAATCTTATTAATAATTAAGTGATATATAATATAATATTAAATCAAGTGTATTTGGAATGCTGTTGAGTAAGTATATGTGCTAAATAGTATTGGAAAAATTATATGAATAATCCTTTTTAAAGGATTTATACAAATAAACAATCATAACAGCTTTCGTACCATATTCGTAAAGTGTAACAGGGCTGATGAGATGACCAAATGATTTTTAAAATCTGAAGAGGGACCTTTTTTTCATTGAAGGAAAATGGCGCAAACGTAATTCAAGCAATGACAACATGATAAGAATAAACACGGATATTAATGTAATGCATTCTTATATATTAAGAGGTATAATGCTAAAATTAGCCCTTAAAGTTTATCAAGTAGTCTTTTTAATCTATATTAGTATGTTTGTAGGTTTTGAATTATTGAGATGATTTTTTGTCACCAGCCCTCATATAATCTATAATTTACAGATATAGTTTTTATATTTTAAGTCAGTCGATTTTTATTTTATAATTTTAAAAATTAACTTTTTAGTCATGATCCAAATAATTTGATTAAATTAGAATGAATTGATATAATTTACATAGAACGTTAGAACTAAACAGTCTTTTAAATGTTAAAAGATACATACATGTATTAGAAGGGATTAAATAAATGTAATTTATTATTTAAATACAATATAAGGATTAACAATAGCCCAGTCTGACGAGCTAAGGCTTGGTTGGCTGCTTTGATTTTGTATTTTTTGCTGGCAGGTCTAAGATTTTGACTCGAAAGCAGGGGAAGTCTTTCGTTTTGTACAGGGTGATTTGGTGATGTCAAACTCAAAATGGACGGCTGGATTTCTCTTCCTGTTAAGATGAGATAAGAACAACACTTATGAAGTCAAAGTTTGAAATTTTAATATGATAAATAAAATAAATTGACAAATTAAAAAATATTATTACTAATGTATAACTAGTGAGAAAAAGTTATTAATGTTTAACCATGAGTTATTTCTTCAATTTTAAATAAAAAAATTATTGAGAAATAATGTAAGAATGTAGATTGAAAGTTATTCACGTCTTTTAATTTAAATAAAGAATTATTTTTATTAATATAAAATAATTATAAAATATATATTTTTAAAAAGATTTTTATATATATTTAAATATGCTTACAAACTACATATTTAAACATAAATTTTTAAGAATAATAATCACCTAAATTATGAAGGAAAAAAAATATTGAATTGACATAATGAGAAAATTTCCAGCGTTTTCAAAATCTTGTAGCTTGACCGTTTGACATGTAATTCTCGTATCTCCATGTCCCTAGATCCTTTCAACACCATATCTTATTGTTGCTTTTATCACCTTTCCAGTTAAGCAATGGTTTCCGGTTATGGCCTTGTATTTTTCCTTCAAATTTTAGTCTATTTAAAATCTATCTCCAATGCCCTTTTTTCCATGCATATGAAAATTGCTTTAATGGGTTTAATTCTTCTACTTTTTAATTCATTCATATAGCCAGTAAGAGAATTTCTTACTGTTCATATCAATTCAATCTTTTAATGAGTTTTTGCCATTTTGAGTGTAAACATTTGTTAATTCTTATTCGAACTCACTCAAGAAGTCTTCTTGTGCTGTGGAAATGACAAGTTTTCTTTATCAGATTTCTTTCTGAATCTGGGGGGTGTTAGGTGTAGATGCATAAAGTTGCCGGATTTTCCACCTTTACCTTTGTGTTTTAGGGTTTCAATGGCGTTCTTTTAGTGGAAACAAATTTTGGGCAAAAAAAACACTGGGAAATTCTTAACTTGGTATTTGAATTTTTTGCTTCTGCAATTCGTGGTTTTCAAAAATGGGACATTATGCAGCAGTGTGGGATCGTAAGGCAGCAACTGAGATTACAAAGGATTGTGATGGGTTCTATAAGGTTCTTCTCAAGAACCCTAGAGGTGCTTCAGCAAAGGTGAGATTTCGCATTTGGTATTGAAATCAATGTCAGCTAATATTTTCATATGTGTTGGTGGAGATTACAGAACAATTTTGTGCTGATTTTGTTTGTTAATAGGTTAGCTTACAAGGAGGACAGGTCACTTCTTGGAGAAATGAACAAGGAGAAGAACTTCTGTTTACTAGTAGCAAAGTAAGCGATTCTAGTTCATCTCTTCGAAAATTATGGCCTTTTTTAGCTAAATTTTGTGATATGGCTGAAGATAAATGCATCATTTCGTGAATTTTAGGCGATCTTTAAGCCTCCGAAAGCGGTGCGAGGAGGAATACATATTTGCTTCCCACGGGTAGTCTGTGTTTTCTCCCTGTCATTTTGTAAATGTAATTATATGGAATATTGACGGTTGCTTGTGGATGTCTTCAATGCTTGTTTAAGTTTGGTAATTGCGGGTCACTCGATCAACATGGATTTGCTAGGAGCAAGATTTGGACGATCGATGACAATCCTCCACCTCTCAATCTGAATGATTCCCATGGTGAATCCTTCATCAACCTATTGCTTAAACCATCCGACGAAGATCTCAAGTGCTGGCCCCACAGGTACGAGCTCCGATGTGTAACTGCTTGCGAAACACTTAGCATGATTCTGTAGCTGTTGACTGCTGGCATTAGTTGTTCTTGTTGTCGATATGTTGCTAACCGAGTTCTCCTGATGCAGTTTTGAGTTTCGATTGAGAGTGTCACTTGCAGCAGATGGAAGTTTGTCATTAACATCACGGATTAGGAATTTCAATGGGAAGCCATTTAGTTTCTCTTTTGCGTATCATACATACCTGTCGGTTTCCGACATAAGGTAAATTGCATTACCTGATCAAATGTAGAAGCTTCTTGTTAGATGTTGTATTAATAAGCTGCGTCCACAGCGAAGTGAGGATAGAAGGGTTGGAGACGATTGACTTCCTCGACAACCTTTGTCAGAAAGCACGTTTTACGGAGCAAGAAGATGCTATAACTTTCGAATCCGAGGTACATGATTTTTCATATTACTTTGAAGTGTCCTATTGTGTACTGTGTGTTTCCGTCTCATTAAAAAGTGGTTACTTTGCAGCAGTTACTTAAAAGAAAAACAATTGAAATGTTCTTCAAACGATCTGACAGGTAGATCGAGTTTATCTTAGTACTCCGAACATAGTTGCTGTACTTGATCATGAAAGGAAACGGACGTATGTCATCCGAAAGGAGGGAGTACCTGATGCAGGTATGATCAAGTATTTCCCGAGGAAATTGCTAGATACAAAAATGACTGGACTAGATAATTTTGTCTTGGTTTGTTTGTATACAGTGGTGTGGAATCCGTGGGAGAAGAAATCAAAAGCAATGGTAGATTTCGGAGACGAGGAGTACAAGCAGATGGTATGCGTTGACGGAGCAGCGATCGAGAAACCCGTGACGTTGAAACCGGGCGAGGAGTGGACAGGGAAGCTGGAACTGTCGGTTGTAGCATCAACTTTCTGTAGCGAGTATTTTGATCTCCAGAACAGTGGGTTTTGATGAATTGAGCCATGTTATTATGGGTTTGTTTAGGACGGTTAGGGAAAGTTGAGCAATGAATCGAGTGAAACTCATAAATTATCTTGTCTGAGAAGATAAATGTAGTGGTAAACAGCCTTTGCTTTTGTGTATTGGAATAAAATTAATGCGACAAAGATGGGAATTCCAGTTGAGAAAATAACTTCAATCTTCGTTTGGTTTTGTTCAGAAAATAAGTTGACAAGAATCGTGGAGAAAAACAAGTCCTGAATGGCTATAAATGCTACTATTTCACTTCTCATTATTTTTTCTAATAATAATTTTTTACTTTTAATTTCTTTATAATCAAAGTATCTATAATCTCATTCATGGAGTCATAAAATTTGAAAAATATCTATAAATCGGGTTAGATTAAGTTCATGTATGAGTTTATTATAATTTATGTTTAAGTTTAATTTGACCTAAAATATGACCTTAGTAAGATAATACTATCTTTTATTTTATACTAAATATTTATAAATACGTCACACATATTCAATTTTTGAATTCCTTTGATTCTTTAGTATCGAAGTATCATTTTTCAAATTTAAATGACACGATAATAGAGAAAAAAGAATAATATATTTTGATTTTATGTTAATTAGATTATAAAGATTATAAATTGATGTTGTTTTCATATAGATTTGCCATTGAAATTTCATGTTTTTGAAAGAGATTTTGAAAAAAATTAAAATTGATAAGAGTGATACAATACAATGTGTGCATGTCGATGTCTTAAGTGATTTGAAAGACATTAGAAAATAACGATTGCTAATACGATTTAAATAAGAGAAGAAAATCCTTAAGGATTCTTTAGAGAAAAAAACAATTATATGAAGAAAAATATTATAAAAAAACATTACATCAAATAAAGTAATTTTTTTTGATAAATTATGCGAATAGTCTCTTTTGTTTAGAATCTAATTGACTTTGATCATTAATTTAAAAATTAAAGATAAATAATCCCTAACGTTATTGGTCCATCCACTTCCGGCCCTTAACGTTATTGGTCCATCTAATTTAATTACTTCCACGTGTCCTCCTCTCCTCCTTTCTATTTTTACAAAACCATACAAAACAAACCCATTAAAATCCTCTTCTCTCCACCTTTGACACACGAACCATGTAAAAGCAAAGCTTTGAGCTTTTCCTCAACAATAAAATCAACCCACTCACCATCTTCCACCTGCGAACGAAAAATCCTAAAAATCAAACAGAGCTTGATTATCAAACATGTAAGTTACCCTATTAATAATTAAAAAGAGCTTGATTATCAAACATGTAAGTTACCCTATTAATAATTAAAAAGAGCTTGATTATCAAACATGCAAGTTACCCTATTAATAATTAAAAAGAGCTTGATTATCAAACATGTAAGTTACCCTATTAATAATTAAAAAGAGCTTGATTATCAAACATGTAAGTTACCCTATTAATAATTAAAAAGAGCTTGATTATCAAACATGTAAGTTACCCTATTAATAATTAACGTTACTTAAAATTTATCATGTTAATATATTTCTCAAATCCACAAGTCCCACCGCAACCAACAAATAGATGAAAGAGTCTTTCTATCCAAATTAAAGGGAGAAAAAGTGAATGATTAATGATAATAAAAGAATAACAATAATTAAATTCCAAAGTAACAATTCACAAATATATTAAAATAATAAAATATAACTTGATTTTTTAGTGTAGTAAAATATTAATTAATAATTTAATTTTTTTGTTGTTTATTAGAAAATTAATAGATTAGCAATTTATATCTTTTTTATTTTTTATTATTAAATTGATACTTTTTTAATGAAATAATTTTTAAGATAACTACTAAAAAAATAAACGAGCTGCTAGCGAACTTATTGAATCGAGTTGAACTTTACTCGATTCAACTCGTTAAAGTCTCGAGTCGAGTTAACCTAAATCGAATTTTTATCGAATTTTGATCAAATTGAGTCCGAACTACTCTGGAGTTGCTCAATTCATTAAGCAACCGACCTTAACTAGCTACTAGTTAACAATTTCCTTGGCTGAGGGTAATTAGTTATGTAGTCCTATAAAATAGCAATTATTGTCAGTTTGACTCTGAAACTCTCCTCTTTATCTCGCACTTAACTCTCCTATAAGGCTAAACTCACGATATAATGTCCTCAAAATAAATAATTCACGAAATAACGTTATCCCAACATTATTTGCTGAAATAGGGCGAAATCAACAGTGTGGCCGTAGGTCGCCATGCCTTCCGGGCGACCTACGACGTGGAACCTTTAAATTTTGCTTTGAAAATATCATTTCTTTTACTTATTCTTCCCCCCATAAAAAGAAAAGGTTCCCCATCTTTGATGTTAAAGTTTTGGATATGAATACAGCAGTGCAAACAGCAGTTACCAACAAGGAGTTGAGAAAGCTGCCTTCAATGGAATCTAATGCCAAGGCCTCCAAGATCGTGAGAGTTCGAGTCACCGATGGCGATGCCACGGATTCTTCTTCTAGCGACAAAACCGAGCACCGAAGAGTGAAAAGGAACTTCAACGAAATCAGAATCGATGATTGTTCCGCCTTCAATCTCACCAAGCAAAGAAACAGCAACAACAATGTTTGTCCAACGCTGTCAAGTACCGAGGTGTTCGAAAAAGGCCGTGGGGAAGATGGGCAACTGAGATCAGAGACCACACGAGTCGAACCAGGGTGTGGCTCGGGACTTACAACGATGCGGAATAAGCTGCGGTGGTTTACGATAGAGTCGCGATTCGAATCAAAGGCCCTAAAGCTCTTACCAACTTCGTAAGACCTCCTTCGACACCAGACATAGAAATGGAAATGATTTCAGAGTATAATTCTGGCCAGGAATGTCAGACTCTTTCCTCGCCTACATCTGTGCTCAGGTTGGCTGAGCTTCAAACCGAGTCGAAAGATAACTCACCGGAGCTTACGGGAAATGAGTGCAACCGAAAAGTACCAAAACAACCCAGTAACTTATCATATGAGTATTTCTTAACAGATGCAGGAGCTTCATTCGATTACTTCGACTATGATAACTCTGCGCCCATATTTTTCGAACAAATTATGTTACCAGAAAGTATTTTGAAACAAGATTGTTCTGACATTTCCATTAAACTCGATGACGATTTTGGTTCCTGTTCCTGGGATGTCGATAATTACTATTAATGTCACTGAAAACATGCCTGGAATGTTTAGATGCTTCCCTGTTGCTGCTGGTCAATGCTTCCCCGTAAGTAATTTAATTTCTACTAGTAGATGTTAGGGGAAGGTTTCAGATTTTTAGTTTGTTTCGTGATGATTATCATTAATAAAACTTTTAACCAATCAAATCTCATGACGAAGCAAATGGAATGAAGGAGTAGAAGAAACAAAACAAGAAAGGATAGTAGGGAACTCAGTTTAACCAATCGAACTCTCAAAAAAAAAAAACAAATGCAAACCATCCATCACCTCAGGAAAAAAAATAAAACAAGTTCATAAATTTATCCGCATGGCAATTTCCATTGCAACCCCGACATAAATGAATCTCTCAATTCCTAACCTAGAGCATTATTCTAAAAGAAGCTGTAGGAGGAAGCGTCTAGTGGGTGGATAAGATATGTGAGCATCAGTGCCACAAGCATCAGCACGTAAGCAATCCCTTGGTCAATTGATGTTCCTGCTCCATGTTAACCAAATCTAATTATTAACAGTCAAAACATCAACATTTTTATCCCAGAAAAGACACATCTCAGAAGAAGACATTACTGAGATAATGTCTTTTTTTGTATGTCTTAAGGCATTTGCAAATGGAAACAAGAAAATACAGAAAATGAAGCAAATAAGAGAGATCTAAAGACCCAAGAAGAGGCTGTGAGGAAGGAAGTTACCATCACTTGTAGGAGAAGGAGCTGGTGCTGTAGATTGGGCCTCGACATAAGGTGAAACAATGGCGAAAGCAAGAGCCAGAATAACCATTACACCCGTTAAAGCTCCTGAAGATATCCCTGCCATTTTTCCTCAACAAATCAGTCTGTAGATTACTAGCCGGCGGGGAATAAGAGAGATACAAGAAAACCCAGAGCCAGAAAAGGAAAGCTTAGGGAGAAAGGGTTGAGAGAAAAGTTGGATTTAAATAGAGAGGTTGAGGCTATTATTGGTTGAATAGATACTACTGTAAGCAGTATGATTGAGGACCTATAAATAAGTTGTTTTGTTGAATTTTTTTAGATTATTTTATTTTGTTGAGGTGTTAATTATAATACAAGTGGTTCTTTTTCAATTTTTCTGTTAAGACAGACCGTTGATGGGCTATTGTTTGATTCAAATGTTGATATTTGATAAAATCAAAGGATTTCATGGGTTTTTTTCCTTCAAATTTTTGTTAACGGATAAATTGGATTGTTTTAATTTGATTCTGATTTTATAAAATTTTAATTTATAATTTATAAATATTGAAGATTAAATTTATTAAAAAAATAAAACTATAACTAATATTATGTGTAAATTTTAAATTTATTATTATATCAATTGAAGTCCTCTAAAATTGACATAAAACATTAAATCCTAATTATTTTATTGTTTTCTTAAATTAATGAGATTTTAAAATTAAGAAGACCTGAAAGTTTTTTTTACCAGTAGAGAAATTGCAATACAACTTTTTTACTTGACCTTTTTTTAACTATTATTTTTGGCCGTTGGTACCTACCTTCATTATCAACTTCGCTGATTGGGGAGGATAAAATTTTAAAACTCAAATTTGAAGAAAGAAATGATTTATTTATAAATAATTGGATTAATAAATTATTAATATATGTAATTATAACAGAGTGGCTGTGGGCTCAAATTCTCCTGTTGGTCCACGATTCTGTGAGCTCTATTTGATTGATGTCTGACGTTAACTACTCTCTTCAACGTTTGCCGCTTTGCCCAGTAAACTTTATATTTAGCCATTTGAATTCATTTAAGACAACACGACGACGACAAATGATGAACTGTAGTAGACCAAATGCAAATCATTTTTTTGGTCAAAGACCGACCTTCATTCTCTGCTTAATTCGTGTCTTACACGTACAAATCTCAGAAAACTAATGTGCAG